TGCCTACAGAGTTGAAAAGCACCTGGAGATGTTAAGAGGCTCTCTGAAGGTGACATCGCCATCAAAAAGCACTGACCAGGTTCAGGGATATCTCCTCAGTCATCAGTGAGGTAAGGAAAAATGGGGGGGGGGCAGGGAAGGGAGTGAAGTAAAAGATGAGATTACAAAAAGGCCAAATGAATGAACCTGAGAGGAAGTGATAAAATTCTCAACGCACACATCTGTGTTTATACTAGAGTATCGCTCTGAAATCTAAGTGCCACCGTAATCGCCCGCTAATGGCACAGCTTCCCCACAAGACCTGAGCAACCTCTCTCCTTAGTGAAAACTTGAAGGACCACGGTTTTCACCTGGGTCAAAACCCCGCTTGTCTCGGATCCAAACCAACACCGCAGCAACCCCTCTGCGCGCCTCGGGTTCCCTCCAGCACCGCTGCTATGAACGCCTGGTGCCTAGCACGGGATCTTTCACGGTTTCCTTAAAAGTGTCCTCATCTGATTCTACGACGAAACTCGGGCTTCAGAAGGCTGTCTTAAACCCTCTCCATCCACTCCGTTCGGGGATGACCCCCGTTCCCATGTCGCACAGTGACGGTCTCTTCCATCCCATTCACACAACTCGAGTTCCCCGTTCACTTCACAACTGTTAGCCTCCAACTCACTTTGGGGCTTCAGAGGGAACCTAAGGAGAGGGAGGCAGGGAACACTGGGACCGCCAGCCGCGCTCTGCGGTCCTCCGCCGGTTGCAAACTCCTGAATGACACCGCACGACGGGGAGGAGGGGCGCGAGCACCGCAGCTGGGGCCCCAAAAGGAGTCACCGGCGAGCGCCGTCGCCTTTGACGTTTCCGTTCATGCCAGGCGCTGGAGCTTTGGGCTCAGGAGCAGGATGACCCGTCCCGGATCCCAAGTGCACTTTTAGGCACTCGGCTTCTTAAAACCTGGAGTGACTTCCCCTGCGGGGCTCCGGGAGAGGGCTCCGACCCCCCACCCGTCCCCGGACTGCAGCCGCGGGAGTGCAGTCCTGACGGCGCCCCCCCTCTCCAGGGCAGCGGGAGCCGGACCCCAGTCCCGGGCGGCGCGCGCACCCGGTGCCCGGCGTCCGCCGCCCAAGTTGGTGCCAGACGGGGCCGCTCCCGCGCACTTGGCGAGTACTCACCAACTCCGTACTTCTGCCGCTTGGTCGGGATCCAGCGGGCCATGGCGGCGACCTCGCCCCTTGGCGGCTGCGGCTGCGGCGGCTACAGCTCCTGGGGCGCCTGCTGCTGCTGCTGCTGCTGCTGCTGCTGC